AACGGTTTATGGCGACTGTCTCCGGGTGTTAGGTCTCGAGTGTTCCTCCGGCTACGCGGCCATTCCCTTGACCCTGGTTTTAGGTCTTCTGAAAGTCAGGCGTGAGCTCAGAGTTTTCGAGGTGTTCCGCTACCAGATGCAACTGGACTCTCCTCAACACAGCTCTCATTAATTCTCTACCAAGGCCCTGCAGTCAATCCTCCGTCTATACAATTTAGTCTACATTGCAGTAATTCTTTTGAACCCTATAGATGATATTTTTTGCTCCACCTCGTCTTGTTAAGTTAACAATTTTACAATTTATCGAAGGAACGACTTTTCGAAGTGTTCAAGGAACACAAGTTTGTAGGGGCGGCCTCGAAACTGAAATAAACGCTTACATTGAAGTCAATCAACTCGTGGAAAAACTGCGTAATGACCACTTTACAAAATAATGCCCAGGCGCAACTGTTTAAGATCAGTCCCGAAATGTTGATGCATCATTTGCATCGTATTCCCATCATAGGCACAGGCGCGTTTTTCGCGAATTCTCTGTCGCCGGTACCCATGCTGGGATTACGGCAAAAGCACATTTATATAAGATTATGCCATGCAATGCTTTACTGACAGCGCAGGTACTAGCTAAAAGTCCCTGCAGGTATCTTGTCAATATTCCGTCTGTGCGGGACACAGCTGCTAGGGGGTTCAGCTCATCGGCAGGTTCCCTAGCTCTTCCCATCTACTTTCCGACAGATACTCAAGTTTTAGAATTTCAGCTCTCTAAGCCCCTCAGAAATTACCAGGCTGACTTGGAGTAGCTCATTCGGAATGAAACTTTATTGGCTCAGTCCGAAAGTTAATATGAATATTTCGGTCGAAATCATTCAGCTTCACCGGAATAACTGTATAATATTAATACACAGCTAGCAGGCAGCTATCATCTTAGGCAGAGGTGACTCGAAGGCCGAAAAGCTAACACTTGAGGCCTGGTACTCAGGTGTCAGCTACATGAATTAGCATCTGAACCCACCTGCAGCCTACAAAGTTCTGCGTCATTACGTTCATAAAGCTCAGGAACAGATGACCACAGAACCTAAGAAGGTCATGCAGACAACTCGACTAGTTCACTCGAGGAAGAAAAAGGGCCGCTGGACTGGCCAAGACCGACAGAGGCTCAATCATCTCTTACCGACCAGGTGATGACTCACAACAAATGCAGCTAAAAAGTCCGCCAAACTC